TGTGAACCCTCGAAAAACAAAGTTTGGGGACCACCTTATTAACCTAAGTTTGGGTTAGTTTATTTTTTTGACCACGAAGTGGGCCCGTTTTATTGGCATTATGCTGTAAACCATAAAAATCATGCCTCTAGACAATTTTTAGTTTTGTATATAATAAATATCATTCATTGTATTCGACAAATTGATTATTATATAATAAAATAGAACGTTGAAGTGCTTTCTAAATTATCATTTCTGTGAATTATTAATACTTTTACCAAATTATGGTATGAAAACACATTCTATATGTATATGATAAGCTTTATTGCTTCAATAAAATATTCATAATTTTTAAAATTTATAAAGTTGTTGCATTTTATCGATAGGATTACTTTATTTAATTTATAGAGTTCCAAATAACAAATAAAAATAAATATAATTAATTATATATACGCTAGTATATAGATAATATCATTAATATTAATAAATTTAGAAAATATTAAATTAGCGAGGATTGCATTAAATAACAGCCTTTTATGAAAAAAGAATTTTTTATCTTTATTTTTATAATTCTATGAATAAAAATGCATATAAAGTATGTAAAATATGCCGTTGAAATAGTTAAGAAAAACTATCTCTGTTTCTTAGAATAACGTTAACAATATGATACACTAGGAGTCCTAAATGGAAACGGCAGATGAAGCAATCAAAATAAATAGTGGAAGGTAGCAAGACGGGCTTAAACGTGACGCAAATGTCAAGCTACAAATTCCATGACAACAGCTAAACAGGTTAGCGACTGAAATGTTTGAAACCACCTAATATCTAAGATTTAATTAAGTATTTTCGTTTTATAACTTTGAGAAAAAATTTCATAAATGTATATATAATATTGTATACAAAAACTCATCAATAAAAATATTTAATTTTATTAATGGTTATCGTTAATTTATGTTTTGAAAATAGGAGTTAGGAAATTAGAAATAATCTTGGGATTTGATGTTCCCTACTGCTTTGTTATTTCTTGTTGAGTGAATAAGCATAGATTTTCTTAAAAACTGGTACCACGCATTTTCTTTCTATTATAGTATAAAGTGATGGATTTATATTAAACTTTTGGTTATCCTGACTACATTTTAAGACTGAAAGCAATAGCTATGTCATTTGTAATTTCTGCTTCTTCATTCGATGATCTTTATTATGAATCTATATACCTTTTAACCGTCCGTTGCTTGTTATACTGACGTGAGTAACGTTTGAAAAACTCCGTTAAATGTAATGCTTGTAATTAATTTATATAATTGCTTAGTTTGAGGAATAATAAAGCATATTACCTTCTAACCATGTTTATTTTATAAAAATGTAAAAAAAATATCTTCATCTTCACTTCCATCGTTTGTTTCTGATTATCTTTGTCTGATTCAATTACTATTTTTTGTAAAATCTCTGTATCCGGTTCATTTCTGCATCAAAAACTTTTTTCATCGTCTGTCATTTTGAAGAAGGTATATAGGTCAGGTTGTCCTAGCTTTACAGTTTGGATAGGTTATATCCACGAGCATCTCATAGACGCCGCGTGAGTAACGGTTGGTTAATGCTTTTCTCTTTTATAACTACTTTAAGACAACTTGGTAGTATTCATTTAATTGAGAAAGTCCTCAATAATTAATTATACTAATAATTTATACTAATTATACTTTATGTTAGATATTTGAGCTTTTCAACATAATATTTCAGAACATGAATAAAATCGAATGATTTTAATATCATCTGTTTGTTCTTAATAAAAATCATTCCATGAAATTACATCAAGATTTCATTTAGCGCGCTTGTGCGCGACAAATACTTAAGAGAATAGCGTTATAAAGTCTCATGAACATATAGTATACATGTAAATTTAGAGCTTTCTTTAGCGTTATATCGAATCATTGCTAATCGATGAAACGATCAAATAATACGTTTATTATTTTTGTATATTCTCAATAATATACATTCTCAATAACTTAATTGTTATGTGTTATGAAATTATAAATGTAGGCGTCTGTATGATTATTTTAGCCTCATTTCATTCCGCCTGTTTTGCGGTAATTGTGAAAAAGAAAAGAATAACGAACTAAATCGGAAACTGAATTGGAACTTTATTTATTTTGTGCAGTGCGGATTCAGATGCAAAATAAATTTCTTTGAATAGCTGGGAGCTGGAAAAATAAATGCGTGTTTACATGTTTGCCCGTGGACGTCGAGTACTACATCTTGCCTGTCAGTTGCAGAGAATACGATGTTAGGCAGTCGTTAATGCGTTCTGTGCAGCAATTGTTTTGGAACTTCTCAAATGGAAAATATAAATAATAATGACCTAGATTGCATTTAGAAACGTAAGAACAAAATATTAATTTTAAAATCTGTTATATTGATAATAAAAAATGGAAAGAAAATTGAATGAATAAAAGAGTGCTTCAATTACAATTAATATATAAGGTTTTAGTAATTTATGAAAGTAAAAACTATGCACAAATAAAAAACTTAATATAAAATACTAAAAGTTGAATTGAGTTGATTTCGTTTTTCACGAAAATTTGAATGTGCTTTTATTATTTTTTTTCGTAAAATACATGGTATTTGACACAGTTTATGCATTGTTCTTGGTAAAGTTAACATATGAATATATAATGAATATGTATAAAGCAAGTCCGAAATTGTTAGTTTCGCGTCACCTCTAGGCCTGCCGAAGCCCTGGTTTTCCCGGTGGAACACTTCACTATAGCAGTTGCCCAAAGCTAATTTGTAAATTGATTTCGCTACCGTAAGCGTCAACAATTTCAAACTGAATGGCTTACTAGTAATCATTGCCCGTAATCTACACTTCATGGAAATGGGATCAATACTAATATACATATTGTATCAATATTCTTACGTATTACTTTTATAGTATCTAAGTGAACCATACTCAAGAATAAAATAAAAATTATTCAAATATATTACAATAACATTTATTGAAATAAACATAATTTTTTTAACAAATATATTAATAAGAAAAATAATCATACATTAGTCGGGTCTTGGTTATATTTGTTCATATGTGATTGTTACAATAAATATTATTAATTTTGAATTAATAAATCATACAAAGTACATGAATAATAAATAAATTTAAAAAAAAGTTTTTCCAATCATTATTAAAACATTTTTTTTTAAATTATTAAAACTAAAAAGTTTGTACAGATAAAGCAAGAATATTAACACTATTGAAAATAACTATTAAAAATAGGTATATTTTAATCATAAACAATATTGTTATTATTTTTTTTTACAAGAACTTGTTATAGACCTTTTTCTCTTTCTATGATACTACATTACTAGTTATTGATTTACTTTTTAAAGGAATATTTCCAGCTCAAACAAACTTTATCAAAATTGATTTTACTATTAGTAACATCAATTTTGTACACTCACTCTCTCAAACCAAAGATTGTATAATGCCAAAAATTAATATAATTTTATAAATACATGAATAATAAAATATTATTGAATAATTATATTATGTCTTTCCTTTATAAATTATTTATCTGTCTGGCGTTTTTCAAATTTGAACCCTATTTTCAACATATCTTCATTTTCATTGTCCATCCTCATAATATTACACTGAGAAACCATTATCTTTAATATTCAATAAATTTCTAATATTCTCTTTATCGACATTTTCAAAACCTTTATTTGATATTATTTTCTAATTCTAGTATAACTTTTGGCCATATTTTGTACAAAGTTTATTTAAACATTTCTAACTGACTTCGTTCTATGTTTTTAAGGTTGTAATTTTTCCAAAAAGTCTGTCATTTCCGATTTGTGTTCTAAATCAATTAAATTGCTTGTCTGACGAAGATAACAAACTTTAAATGATGCTATTACTCCCAATTCCAATGGTCGAATCAGCGAAGTTGTATTAGCTGGAAGAAACACAATTCTGACGTATTTCTGTCAACGTGTAGGATGAGCAACGTGTAGGATTAGCATGTCCCGGCGTATTGTATAACAACTAAAGAGTTTTTTCTTTATAACTGTTTTGTGGCAAAAACGTTTTACTTCAGAAATAAATAATGGTTAACAAACCAATCTCTTACCTTTTGATAAACCACGCATTTTTTTTTAAGTATAATAAGGTTTATCTGTAGGTTTAATAATCTAATATAGATATTTTAAAATGTTACATTGATTTTTCTTGTATGAAATACCTAGTTGTTTAAAATATAATATGAAGGTCTACTTTAATATATTTCTTGACTTAATAAGATTATTTTGTATATATGGTAATTTTTTTTTAACTATGTGTTATTTGTCATATGAATTTTTGTATTAGATGATATAAATTTATTTTGGACGAACGACCATATTGTGCGATTAAATATATAGAAAATTCATCAATATTTCATAAAACAATTGGATTTATTTGTATTTAGAAATGATCAACCGAATATTGTACATTGTTGAAAATAGAAACAAGTTATTGATGTGCATGTATATTGTAAATACATTTAATAAAGATGAATGAAATAAAATATAGCAAATAATATAATTGTAGGGCGGAAAAACCTCGGTCGATAGACCTTTGACCAGCATGTTAATATTTTTTTTTGTTAATTTATGTTAGAATTCATTTACTTATTTTGAGAGTTATTTGTATTATTTAGTTGTTATTATTATCATTTATTTATTTATAGAATGTATTTTTTTCTTGTATTTTCCAGTCTGGCCAAAAAATTATAGAATTGTAACTGTGCGCATATTGTTATTATTTTTTAACATACCGTTTGCTACCGTTTACAAAAACAAATACAGTTCGTAATTAAAATTTGCCAGAAATTAATTTCAATATCCGGTTGATAAATCAATGCGGCAAATGAAACTTGCAAAATGCGTACGAATAAATAAACAAAACATAAAAAATAATAATGCACGAAGAATAAACTTTTGGGCTGTTTTATGAAATATGTGATTTATCTTTGTGTGTTTGTATGTTTCAGATGGCTTGTTGTCATACACTGTCTCTCAGGGATTAAAACGGGGCCCCGAAATGGATTTGTCAGATCGGACGTACGACGGACGGGAAAAAGACGGAATACTTTCGGAGGGTTTAGGGCAATTGGTGGATGGACAGAAAGGCCAGGACAATTTCAGGCTAGACACAGGGCACGGCAAAGGTGAGCAAGGAATTTACATTTATATTACATAGTGATGGTTGAAGTGGGGGTTGCGGAGGACCGTGTGTTCCCCGACCGCCCAATTTCATTTTATAAAACTATTTGTTCCGGGCGACACTTGTATGACCTAATGGTGCCTTTGTTTTATTTCCTTGCTCGCCCTTTCGTTTCGTTCCCTCAATATTCTTTTTTTTTTTTAGTTTTTTCTTGTTTTCGTTTTATTGCGAAAATTCCGATTTCAGATTAAATTCATTACATGCAATACATGCACCGTGCGAACACAAGGTACGCTTTATTCTGTATAATAACAGGATAAACCTGCGATGAAAGTAACAATGCTCTCATAAATATTCAAGAAACATGATCCTATTAAAGAATAACATTATACAAATTCAATTTATTACATTCTTTTTAGTAAGAAACAAATTATTTATTTATTTACTTTTGTTTATATTTTCTTAATAATTAGTTTTTGTCATAAATATTATAAAAAATATATACCGAAAGTTTGCGCCGATTTTTCACAAAAATTAAAAATAAAAACTTTTATATATTTAATTATTGATACCGTCCTTCATCTTTCACACAAAAAAACTTTAGTTGGTTTTTTAAATCGACTAAAAATAAATGGAATTTCGAAAGACCCACATTTATGGAAGTCGGGAAGTGAATACTACGAATACTATTGGTAAACAAATACAACTCTGTCCGACTCCAACAACTTTTTTTGAGTAGTAAAAGAAATAACGGTTTATGTAAATAAGCTTCAAAAACGTTCGTCGCTAGTTGTTTTTGATATTTTTGCCAATGCCCGGACAACCAATAAGTCCAATCATAAAAAAGAAGTTTTTTCATCCAGTATATTTTAGTATTGTTAAAGAAAATAAAATACAGTTATTACTTCTTAGTGATAAATGGAATTAGTAATATTTAACTACATGAAAAATAGTTATTACTTAATTACTACCAATTTATTACAAATTATATATGTTCAAATCGTGCATTTTATTTTAGATTTTAATAAATCCTCGTATATTCACATAAAATAAATATAAAATTACACTTTAATATTTGTTTTATATAATATTTCAATTAAATAAAATAAAAAATGCAATAAGTGATATTTATGACATTTATACCAATTGCGATATTCAACCAAACAACTTCATTACCATAAGAAACTGTATACAAACTACATGATTATACACCTGTAATAAATTTCCATTTGAGAAATATTTCTTTAAATAACTATATTTTTTCTTAAAATTATTGTCAGTTATTATACGGTCGTCGAACGTAATAACAGGAATATTTAAGATTTTATTACGTTTTCGCAGCCGTCTATTTAATATTTCAATTTTAAATATTGCGGTACGTTGCATTTGCGATTGTGTAAATATTGACTTTAATTTGATTAAAGTAGGTTTATTTTTACTAAGCATAATGTTGCATATTTATGTTTAGAAAACATTCAGTTTAGATTTATATCTAAGTATCTTTAAATATCTATTTTACATACAAAAAAATCAGTATTATTGTTCAAGAATAGATTACGAAAGTGCGAGTAATCTGTTCACCCAATTCTGGACTAATCGAGGACTTGTATAAAAATATTTTGTTTACTTATTTTTTAGTTTTCAAACAGAAATATATTAAATTTTGGACTGACGGAATTCGCACTATGTCCGTATATTTAGTATTTTAAACATGAATTGTATAGTTCAATTATTTTTTTTTTCAATGTTAATTGTAATAATATTGAACTATATTCTAGTATATTTGGAAATGTTTCTAAATGTGAAATAAAATTTACGTAATTTTGCGATAGTAAATTATGCTGGAATAGGACTACTTTATTTGCCAAATGAGGCATTTGGCTTTAATTTCGTCGTTCAAATGATCCAATGTTAATGGATTATATTGGTGTGTTATTGGCTTTCTATTTACCAAACAGTCGATGAAAAATTTTACATGAAAACCCCAATAAACAGTAGTTCTACAAATAATCAAGATGCCACATATAAAATATAAATTTAATATGTCTGTATTTTTCTGTAATTCTTTAACTTTTTAACCTGACATAATTAAAATATTAGCAACTAAGATGCTAATTACATTATTATGAAAACAATCTTAGCAAAAAGATCATTTTTAAAAACATATTAGGTAATAGAGATATTTTTTATCTAATTATTTATTTATATATTTATTATATAGAATATTATATTTTGATAACAACATTATTTTAAATATAAACACTAAAAAAGTAAATGAATATTGATATTACGCTAATTTAGAGTGAAAAACAAGTGTACTTGAACAAGCAAAACATTTGTATTTCATGGATTTTGTTGGTGTCATCAGACCGGTACATAATGTTAGTGCAGTTTTTTGTTACTTGAAAAGTTTCACCTTAAGACCTTAATAGCTTCTACGACATAATAAAAAACAGGGCCCGAGTTGAAGTGTTTGTGTGGGTGGGTGTGTGTGTGTTGTAGAGAATGAGTAGACCGAGGGTTGAAACTTCTCTTCCTTCTGTATAGATTTTTTTTGCACGCCAATCTAAAACGTTAGTTTCGCAGCAGACCACGCTATTTAACACCCAACTACTTAAAGAGATGCAACGGCAATGCTAATATTATCTTAATATAAAGAAAGCTCAAAGTGCACGGGGAAAAAACGCATCACGTATTTATGAAGCTTCATCTAGGGACATCGTTTTACTATTCCTAGACTCTCTTGGAAGATTGTCCTAATTATTAAACTAACATGAGATAAAAATCCCAAAAGCTTCGTATCCAACATAATCTTATTTAGATTTACTAAATTAACAACATCAAACATTCCATATTTATTAAAATATATTTGCATTTTCTAAGTCTTAATTTTGGCCAAAGTCTCATTATATATTCGATTACTATTCAGTTAATTTGCATATTTAATTATTATATAAAATTCATTTAAATTTGATTAATTTGATAATAATGGAAGTTAAGCAATTAAGCAGTGTATTATAATTATGTTTTGGATTGGTGATCATTGATCATTTTTATAATAAACGTGATCAAAGGACTATGAAAGTACTGGCATATTTATGTCACTATTTGAATTATAAAGAGACGTGAAACAGACCTAAATACTTGTTAGTACATTAATGTAATATTTATATTGTATACAAAAGGAATAAGACAGTGGTCGGCAAACCAGGGTAAATAAGCGAAACTAAAATTATATGTATCCATAATAAAATATTGGAATTCACCCCTCCTGTTAGAATCTATATTTTCATATAAAATATTGGAAATCATATTGGGGAAATTCCAGGTTAATTTAATATTTACAATTTTAATCTTTACAAGAAAATATATCTCATAATGTAAAATTTGATTAATCGAAGTTAAACATTGTATTTTGTAACTATTGGTGACATATGATCTTTAGCCAATTTGGGTTAAGTATAATGTACAATAGATCATACATCTAGTAGAATAGATACGAATTTTCGGAGTAATGCAAGTACAAACAATATATATATAGACAATATAGATTTGTATGTAAAGAAAACCTTAAATTCTCTTTCAAAAATATATATCTGTTATACATTTTAAAAATTGTTGATAATCATCAACATAATTATATAATTCAATATAAACCGGTTTGAAAAATGAACTAAAATTTTATTGAGGAAAATAAAAATAAATTTAATAAAAATTATATACAAAATTATTTTTTTATACATAAATATTATTTTCCGATACATTTTTTAAGTATGTAATAAACTTTAGTTATTTTGAATTTGTATGAAAAAAAAAGAAGGGATGAAAGTCGAAGGGATTTGGGAAACGTTGTTTATATATTTGAGTACTCCTGTTGCCGATTGAGCTTGAGATAGATGAGCGCTTGGAGTGGTTATAAGGCTTGAGAAGTTTGTTACACAAACAGGAATTACATCCCATTTAAGAGGGTGCTTCTATTGGAATAATCGTTAGTATTCTCCACTTGATTGATTTAGACTTTATTAGATCTCATTGAGCCTGATTCAATTGTGTGCACACGTTCACTCTTGTTCGACAGTCAATCAAAGACATTTCAATCAAATACATTATTAAACACAAAGTAATATTGAAATATATAATTCTAACTTAATCTACAATCAACTTATTAATCTTATTGAACTATGGTTTCTTATATAATACGGTATATTTATTCGACTAGAAATTCTGTAATGTGTCATTATATAAAATATTTGTATATTATGAATTTGATTCAATTTATTATATTTAAATTTACTGGATATTTCAAGCGTATTGTGCGTATAATATAAGGAACGACGAAAAATATTACTTTTACATATATACCTTGATTAACGAATATAATGCGTTTTACGAAATTACTACGTTTTCAGATGTAAAAATGCTCTCTTTTGTAGATAATCTATAGAAAAAAGCAAAATCACATTTTAAACTAATATATTAAAAAGTTGCTGCGTTTTCTCTTTCATTTAGCATTTGCGTATACCGCGTTATTGCATTTAACACTGATCACTTAACAATTCTTCCTAAATGAAGATTATTTTCAATAATACAAATATAGCTTTTTAAATTTTACAACATTTCTAATTTCATTTAAGCATCTTTGTAAATATTTGGTTGTTAACATTTTTGCATTCAATAAATATTTAACACCTTTATCGATATTTTTTAAACCAATTGTACAAATCTGGATAACTAAATTTCTTGCATTCAAATACAATTTCTTAGTGACTTCTTCCAAAAACTATCAACTCAACTATTCAACAAATTTTCTGGAAGTGAGAAGATATAAATTCGTAATTCTTATAAATCTGTTGAAATATTAATAAAGAACTAAACTAATAATACTTGATTTGATATACATTTATTAAAAGTAAACTTTTTGCTTATAAAACATCAATTGTATAGAATAATTAATTTGAAGTTAAATAACGTATTATTATTGTGTTGAATTTGATAAATTACTTT